CCATAGAATACGAGAGGATGGATTAACATCTTGTTATACAGCCTTTTATAAGTTAACAAAATAAATATATTGGGCGGGGATCAGTTCAAATTCATTTACTTTCAACTAATTAATAGTGAAAAATGAATCTAAGGTCCAAGAAAATTGATGTCATGCTCATGTTTCTTTTAAAATAGTTTATTATTCTGTGGAAACCTTTTTAATCAAGGTAGTTTTTCACTAACGTGACACAAAACTTTAAACTATGCATAGAATAAAAATCTACTCAACATATTCATTTTCCTTCTATTTCTAATCATGACAAATTTTGGAATGTATATTGAAGTTAAAAAGGCAAAGTTTCCTTCTGCAGAGGCCCCATCTGGTCTCTTTTGGATACTAATAACCATCTAGAATTGGTTGATATAGGCAAAGAAGCCTTAATTTAGCTATTTGCCTATCCATTCCCTGTACATCCTCCTAAACCATAGCAGAATGCCATGGGTGTAATTGATATTTGGAGGCAAAAAAAAAAAAGAAAAAAAAAGATAACAGCCATAAAGTTAGAGTAATCATGTTTTCCCGTGTGTGTGTTTTATTAATTTTTTTTTTTTTAGGATCAGATTTATGATGTCAGTTTCTATTAGGATGAAAGCATGAAAACATGAGATGATTATGTAAGCATGCCAATTTTGAACCTGAAAATAGTTTCTAATGCAGGGGTGGGGAACGTCCAGCCCCTGGGCCCAAATAAAACCAGCAAATCATTGGGTCCGGCCCTGCCAAGGCATTAGGGGTGAGTTAATTAAATGTTAGACCAGATATAGCAGGCTAGTTGTTTTTTTTTTTTACGTTGATAATGTTGGATGGCCCATCAATGATGTTATAAATATCCAAATGGCCCTTGGCAGAAAAAAGGTTCCCCACCCCGGTTTTAATGGAAAGCATTTGACAAGCAGCCCCTTCTTTTATTGACTTAATGGGAGTATCGGTTTATGAATTCATGATTCCTAAGAAAATGACTTAAACAAATGTGGGACATGTGTACACAAATATATGAGTTGGTTCTGGTAGGGAAGAATGGTGTCTCTGAAAAAATAAAATCCTAGGGGTTATAAATAGGTCAAAACGAATTAGACTTTTATTTATACTTCAGAAATGTAATCAAGTGAATGAAATGATTTCATATACATTTTTACATCAAAGAGCAGTGACACACTGTTCATACATTACTTCTGTAGGAAAATGTACATCCTTCTTTGTTGTTGTTGTTAGGTTAAATCTGCCAAGTGTTCATGGACAGAAACAAAACAAAAAAATCCCCAAAAAACAAAAATACACCCCAAAAACCAACAACCTTTCCTTGCAACCTGAACTAGCGACATTACAAAGGGCCAGCCGTGTTCCTTTCAATAGTTTTATGGCATGAATAAAGCCTTTGTCCAAATGCCTGCTAATATGGGCATGTGTCGTATGAAGTCTCACAAATACTCGAAAATGTGAAAACTATGCAATAACCTAATGGATTTTGTGACCGAGTCTACCCAGGGACATTAAAGTCCAGGATGGTTTATTTTAAGTGTACTTCTGTAGCTCTATTTCTCGCTGAGTATTCTTCCATTGCCTAATCAGAAAGAAACACATTCTTATGAAGTTAAGCAGCTGTAGGCACAGAATGCTGATGACATTCTCTCCCTATCCGAGTTGCCTAAAGAAAACCTAGTTAGCGGTAATTCTACCAAATACTTGTAACGTTCACATACATTTTTAATTGATTTTTAAACAGCACTACTGTGGCCATGAATTTGACCACATAGACTATAAGCCTTAAGCCCCCTAGGTTTGAGCAATTGTGTCTTTGTCGACTAAAACTATGTAAAATAAAATCTGATAACTCCCTGGTGTTAGAGGTAGACAGTTTTCTTTCAAATCCTAGGTTTGGTCTTTTATTTTATTCAGCAGTGAAAGCCATGAATACAGAACAAATAACACCTCTTACAATTCTCAACCATGACTTCTAACATCAGAGAATTCAAAGTATGAACATAGTACACAGTAATGAAAAGTATCAAAATTAGTTTACCTCAAAAAAGATAAATAAAACAGGTATATCCCACCAATACATAAACAGATGTTTGTGCTACAGTTAAAATTTGTTGTATACAAAAGATCATAGTCCCCGTAATCAGGTTGATAGAAGCAAGAATACATGAGCCATTTAAATTGTCAGACATTATGCTTTATAAGGTATGCACAGAAGTTCAAGCAATAAATACATACATTAGTTCAAAGCCTTACAATAGCTACGCAAAGCAGATGCAGAAAAGCAGATTTGCTATCACTAACAAGCAATGATATAAGTAAAAATTCATGAAATGCATTAAAGCAACATTTTTCTTAGAAAAAGTCTGGTCATTTATGGGTCCACCAACATTTTTTTACAGAATATGCACAATTATCAAAATACAGACCAAGCATTTCAGAAAACTCCAAAAAACCTAAAATCTATTTTTCAAAGCAATTGCAGTTTTGGAGGTTTTTCTGGTATAATGTGCAAGCAGCTATATTTTTTTTTTATTGTATTCATATAAAACCCATGCAAAACTCTACAGGTATATGCATTCTGTGGCTGAGACTTCCTTTCAAAAGTTTTGTAACTGAGGTATGCATACTTTAGCATCGTAGTCTTAGGCCACCCTTCCGATGGTAGAGCGCTCACAGTTACTTGCAGTCCATCAAAACCTTTTGAACATGCACATGAAAGACCCATTTTCCCTTCAGATAATCCTGACATGAGATCCCAGGTGACTGAAACGCATCTTTCTCAATACCCATCCTTCTCTGGGTACTGCACGGTACACTTCCCGTTCCTTCATCATGACCCAAAGACAACATAATGAAAAGCAGCAGTTACTGCGACGTTCTCACATTTCATGCAATCTGCCGGAATTGTTCTAATTTTTTTGTCTTTTTTGTCTTTTTCTTTTTTTTTCTTTTTGCAGAGGTAGAAGCTTTCAGAAAGCCATTTGGGTAAGTGGGAAAACCCTTTTGAAAGCCGTTATGTTCTTTTTATTTGGTGTGATAGATGACTGGGTGTCTCTCTAACTCTATTTGCTGACGTCAGCAAAGAAGAAAACGACGAGCTTAGTTTGCAAGAACCAGCTCCACCACACGGAACTGGGCATCTGTTAAGCTCTAGCAGCCACCTTCTGTCAAAACTGTTTGTAAAGCAATAACCATAATCAGGTTATGAGGTCCCTTGGTTGGGGGAAAAAGTATGATCAAGACTTGGCACAGCACATGAAAAGCAACATGTAAAGTTTCTAGGTTTTAAGCAAATATCTGACTGTGTTATTTCCAATACACCATAACGCATCATCATAGTTTTGGGGGTTTGGAGATGTCAAGAAAACCAGCATTCCAACAATTTGGCCTGTGCAAGTCTTTGAAAGGGAGAGTGTTGTTAGTGTTAATATCCCGTATAAGCAGAGGCAGAATTATATGTAACTTTGGTTTGACTGAAAATAAATACCATGGACTACAATTGCTATACTCTTTGCTTTCAGTGTAAAAACTCAGCTAGATCCCTTTAAAATCAATATGAAATTAATTTTTGGCTTTACTAGACCTTTAATGTTTGGTTCCTATTTTTTTTTCCCGTTATAACTTAAGTCTATAAAAATAGTACACAACAAAGGTTCAGACCATACAAGACATCTAACAACATGTATTCACCACCAAAAATAAGTGACTGGATTGGGAAAACAAAAGCACAGTGTACTATATATATATCACAATATGCAATCTGCATTTGCATCAAGTTCATCATCCTTTTGGTCAGTGATCCACATTTGTTGCTTTCTTAGCATGTCATAACTTCCACTGTGGATTTTGTCCTCACCTCTGTCTTTAGTGAAAGCAAATCTTCGTTGCATCTAGATGGACGTTTGGTCTCAGAAGATTACTCTGCGACTGAATTAGCTTTTTCGCTGTGGTTTTTTTGTGTGTGACATATTTAATTCTTGGTTTAGGGCTAAATGAAAAGATCCCAGAGGTCGTCAGAAAACAGCAGGTAGTTCATGAAAAAGGTTCCTTTGTATTAATTGGAGTTACAGAAGGCTGACCAAAGCGTGTGGCTGCTTCTGTCCTTGAGCTCTTGGCCATGGTTAGAGTTGGCTTTGGTTTGCAGCTGTAGCCTTTGACTGTGTTTGCAGGTAGACAAAGCTTTATCACAAGGAGGTAAAGAGTACAGTTGTAAGATCTATGCAGATATGCAAATGTTTCTATGGTGCTTGCACAGATAATGTTAGCTTAGGATTGCACTTTACATCTTAACACTAACAGCACAGACTGGAAGCCTAAGGTTTTAGATGGTTGCAACAGTCTAATTACTGCTTTTTGTAATCACTAAACTTATGTCATTTACAGTTGGTGGCACCAACATAAAAACTAATGTTCTGTTGTTCAAAATTCAGCTAGATACAAGCAGTGACACTAATCTCTGATACTACTCTTGTGCAAATTAAAAACAATAGCAACAAGTTGAACTTGACCAGCAATTGTTTCTAATATTACAACTACAGAATGCTGGGAAATTCACATTAATGAAACTAACACTATTTTTGGCAGTATATGAGGCGTGTTTGCTTTTTACAAGACATGTATCCTCATATTCAGTCATGTCATGAACCCTTAAGAGCCACATCTTTAAGTGGGCAAAGCCATTATAGAAAGAACAGTTCCTTTTTTTTTTTTCTAAGAAAAATCAGTTTTTGTCTTTTTTTTTTTTCTAAAAAAAAAAAAAAAAAAACAGAGAGAGAAAGAGAGAAAGAAAAGAAAACAAGCGATTTGCCTGTTGGTACTGACTCCAAAGGGCTGGCTTCATAAGTTCCTTCAGGGCAGTCTCTTTATCCATGCTTAATAAATAGTCACAGTAAAAACTTGTCAAATATTCATGGTTGTGGAGTGGTTATGAAGGTCAGTGATATGTCCCTTCACACTGAGGTTTCACAAGTCAGTTTTCATTCCAGATCTTCAGATAAAGGCTCTTCTTCGATCTCTCTGTCGTCTTCTAACTCCGGACTGTGATTCGCTGTTGTCACTAAGGACACGGGGCAGTCTTCGTCCTCGGCAATCACGGGCTCTTCCTTGACGTGGATTGAATGT